TCGCTGGACTCCCATGTAGTCGACCAAGGCCCAAGTCCCAGGCCCAGCAGCTTAAAACTCACATCATGAATGTGTGCATGCATGGCCAAAATCCGTCAGGAGAGGGGAGGAGAAGGGACTGTGATGTGGCCATCACCCCCTGGGGGGGGTGAGTTCTCACTTTCTCTTTGTCTTTCTCTGTCTCTGGCTAGAGCACCCGCCCTATAACAAAAGTCTCTCTAAAAGAAGCACATGCGCGCGCGCGCGCACAAAAGCATTAAGGAGACAACAGGTAGCATGGTGGCTGGGGTACTGGACTCCGATGTGGCCAACCATGGTTCGAGTCCCGGACCTGATGGCTTTCTCTGTCTTTCTCCTGCTTCCTCTGGTGGGCACGTGGACTGTATAGCACATTAAAAGTAATAATAAAAATAACAAAATTAAATTAATAATTCTTCTTTAAAAACTGAGTGAAGAGCTGAAACCCTCAGACTGTGCTGCCTCTTCCTCACTCTCCACTCCACTGAGACCTGAGCAGCAGCTGCGACAACACCCTCCTGACATGCTCCGTGTCGGTCACCAATCAGGTCCTCACTGCGGGCGCTGAAAAGGTCTTACCGGGTTTCAATTAGCCTCCCAATGAGCTCCCGACGCTCCTGACTCTCCTGAGAGAAGCTCGGCTTCTTCACGTTCACTCCGTGGTCAACCTCACCCTCAATACCAGACTGGCTTTACGGAAGACCCAGGTGGCCCTGGCCACCCCGTAGGTTAACGAAAACATTAGGAGGTGGGCGATATTCCCTTTTTCCTTGTGTTTAATTTCCGGAAAAATTATATAAAAAGTTAAAAACAGAAAACTGGACACTTACCTCGAAATGACAGCCCCCATTTCAGTCTTTCGGGAAGACGGGTGTCGTTACTTGTCTCTCAGATTTCATGGAAGGTTTTTTTCAGATTAGAAGATACACTACAAAAAAGGGTGAAGGCAAGAGTATGAATATAAATGGGCTAGATCAAAATACACCACACACATTTTATTATCTATATGATAGTTGGTAGCTTATACCTCTATACATTTTAAAGTGTACATTGAAAATGGAATGAAGCTCAAGAACTATTCATATTTTATTATTTACAGGGGACCAGCAAACGGCGTAGCAGTTAGGTCACTGAACTCCCACAGGGCCAACTGCAGTTCAAGTCCTGGACCCAGTGGCTTCAAAATCATGCCAGGTGCATGTGCAGGCGTGCCCAAGATCCCGGGAGAATGGAGAAGGGACTGCAGTGTGACCATGCCCCCAAAGGGTGATTTCTCACTTTCCTTCTCACTGTCTCTGCATCTCTTAGCACCTACCCTACAGTACAAATGCCCTAAGGCAAAAACCTCCTTAGGGGGAAAAAAATCCAGGCAGGCAGTTTGAGTTCCGGGCCTTGCAGCTTACTTTCTAACACTTTCTCCCCCGCCCCCCACCCCTCTCTGTCTCTCCCTCTGGGCAAATTAAAATAAATAAATAAATAAAGTTAAATAAAATAATTCTTTGCGGGGGTGGGGGGACTTCCAATGACTTCCTTCCTGGCCCCGCCTAAACTTCAGCTATGAACCCTGCACACCCATACGACCCGGTGTATGGAGACACTGAGCTCCTCTCCCACTCTCCTCTCCATTCACCACTCTCTAACCACATGGTTTGCTTTCTCTTCCTCACACTGTTTCTAATTTAGGGATTTCGGACACGTTCTTTCCGTTAGGAATGTTCTACCCCCAAGTATTCTGTCGCTTCTTTATTTTTTAAAGAATTATTTATTTAACTGTATCCAACATTATTTTTTTAATTTGATCAGAGAAAGAAAGATACAGAAAGAGAGAGAGTGAGAAAGCCAGCTGTCAGGTCCGGGACTTGAACCAATGTCGGCCATGTGGGAGTCCAGCACCGTAACCACCATGCCGCCCGCCGGCCCCAGTATTCTGCCACTTCTAACACTCACGTCTTACACAAAAGTGACCTCTTCCAAGAAGCTCTCTGTGGACCACTGCGCTGGACAGCAGCGGGTCGTTCTCTACCACTGCACTCTATCGCCTTCCTGATGTTTAGCCACGTTGCTCTCAGCCCTGCTATAGTGTGTGTGCACTTGCAGGGGTGGAGGGGGAGAGACAGAGAAAGCAAGAGATCACCCCCCGGGGGTGGCCAGGCCAAATTCCCTTCCTCCCTTCTCTCGGGATCTTGGGCATGCAGCCACACACGCTTGGTGTGGTTTTCAAGCCTCCCGATCTTGAGAATCATGCCAGGTGCATGTGCGCGCGTGTGTGTGTGCCCAAGATCCCAGGAGAAGGGACTGCAGCATCGCCACTGCCCCTAGGGGGTAGTTTCTCACTTTTCCTCTCGCTGTCTCTCTCTCTCCCTCTCCCGCAAGCATACACGCCCTGCGGCAAAAACCTATGAAAAGGTAATGCTGACAGGAGTGAGCAGTGCTAACAGTTCCATGTATCAGCTGTTACGTGCATCGAATACAAAGCCTCCCCATTTCATGTTTGTTCTGTGTTCCTCATCATGCCACAGCCACATCGCTGCATTCGGTGGATTAAAATGACCTGTAGTCAAAGTTCTAAGAAAGACAGAACAGGGGCCGGAAGGTGGCATGGTGCTTAAGGGCACTGGACTCCCACATGGCCGACCGCGGTTCAAGTCCCAGACCTGGTGGCTTGCTTTCTCACTTTCTCTCTCTCACTCTGTCCCTCTGTCCCTCTCTGATCAAATTAAAGTAAGTAAATAAATTAATAAACAGAGTTAAATAAGAAAAATCTTGAAAAGAAAAAGAATGAGAGAATAGTTACGTTTGCTGTTTGAGAACCGTCAGCACTGTGCTAGCTTAAGCCATCCACTGGGGTTTCCTCCATCAACCGGGAAGCACCACTGCGTTGCCAGTACCCTTCCCCCACTCACGGCCTCCTTTTTTAGTCACTGAGGAAGGAGGTCCTTGGAAGTGAGTCTGTCAGGTCACTCGGGACAGCTAAGTAGCCCCAGAGCAGCACACTTCACACATCAGCGAGGGAGGACTGCATCTTGTTTTGCCACAATGGCACCCAAGGCAAAGGCAAAGGGGGGAACTGAAGCCAAAGCAAAGGCTTCGAAGGCCAGGCTACAAAGCACCCACGGCCACAAGGAAAAGAACATCCACATGGCCACCCCCTTCCAGAGGCCCAAGACACGTGGAGCTGGAGTCGGCGCCCAGATCCTTGGAAGAACGCCCCCGGGAAAACCAGCCTGGCCACGATACCATCGGCAAGTGCCCTGAACCCCAAATCTGCCACAAAGGAGGTAGAGTTCCCGGAGCTGGCAGGGCCAACGAGGGCCAGACGGAAGGGGGCTGTGAGCAGCTCTGTGAGAACGAGGTA